GCACCAGGTCTGGGGACACAGGGGACACCGTCTTAAAGGGGCCGTGTCCCCAACAAGTCTGGGGACACGGCCTTAAAGGGGCAGTGTCCCACCTTCCTGATGTCCCAAAAAAGGTGTTTAAAGGGCCAGCACCAGTCACATAAAGAGTCCATAAGCCCCAATATGCCCACCGACAGTCTTAAAGGGCCATACACACCAAATAAAAGTGCATACATTTTCACAATCTCCCAGGGGCCATAGTCATGTGGGAGGAGGCTGGCAAAGAGGCTTCTCCACAACCCAGGGAAACAGGGCAATTTGCCATTTAAAGGGCCCGTTACAAATAGCAGTTTGTAACAAGGTGTCAATCCATATCTGCCAAGTGACCCTATGTAGGGGGAACAGTCCCTATTCTGCTCTGTGTCCGTGTGCATCAGGGGCTCTGAGGACAGGTGTCAATCCATATGTCAAGGTGTCAATATGTCATGTCAGGTGTCAATCCATATTCATTGTGATTTAGGAATGTTAGGTGATTTCTGCCCTTTATGGATTAAACCAGACTCTGTATCAACTGTGTAATTTTCCATGGGAGTTTTGCCATGGATCCCCCTCCGGCATGCCACAGTCCAGGTGTTAGTCCCCTTGAAACAACTTTTCCATCCCTATTGTGGCCAGAAAGAGTCCCTGTGTGTTTTAAAATTCGCCTCCCCATTGAAGTCAATGGCGTTTCGGCCTGTTCGCCGGTTCGCGAACATTTGCGGAAGTTCGCGTTCGCCGTTCGCGAACCGAAAATTTCGGGTTCGCGACATCACTACCCTGTATGTTATGTTTTTGCAAATATTTATCCAATTTCAGTTTAAACATCTGTATGGACTCTGCTAAAACCACCTCTTCAGGCGGAGAATTCCATATCCTTATTGTTCTTACTGTAAAAAAAAAAACCTTCTCTTTGCCTTAGATGCAATCTCCTTTCTTCCAGACTAAATGTGTGACCTCGTGTCCTATGTATAGCCCTGTATATGAATAGATTTCCAGACAGTGGTTTGTACTGGCCCCCGAATATATTTGTATAATGTTATCATATCCCCTCGGAGGCACCGTTTTTCCAAAATAGATTTAATTTTTTAACCTTTCTAACTAAATTTCCCCATGCCTTTTATCAATTTTGTAGCCCGTCCCTGAACTTTTTCTAGTGCCATGATATCCTTCTTTGGAACAGATGCCCAAAATTGCACAGCATATTCAAGGTGTGCTCTTACCAGCGATTTATAAAGAGGCAAAATTATATTTTCATCCCGGGAATTTATGCCCCTATTTATACATGACAAAATCTTACTGGCCTTAGCACCTGCAGATTGACATTGCATATTGCTGCCTAATTTGTTGTCTATAACAATTCCCAAATCCTTCTCGTGTGTGGGGTATGTACCGCTGTGGGCACTGTATTAACTGCAATGGGGTGATCACGGGAGACCATTTTACACACCCGAGGACGGGTAGGAGATACCCGATTCAGGAATTTTGTAATTGCCAGTCTGTTTGTGGTGTACATGCTCAAATGCCTGTGTGGATTGGTGTATGTGGGTGAAACCACGCGTATGCTCACTACAAGGATCAGGGAACACAAGAGCGGCATACGGATGAATAAGATGCAATATCCGGTGGCCCGACACTTCGCTGAGAAAAGACATACAGTTTCCCAACTGCGGTACATGATTTTGGAGGTGATTAAATCCAGTAGGGGTGGCATTTGGCAAGTGGTTAGGCTTAAACAACGTGAGGTATACTGGATTTACGAGCTGCAGACTTTGTATCCTAAGGGTCTGAATGAGGATAAGGATCTATCACCATTTCTATAATCCTGACAATATTTTACTCTGCCTGCGTTTTGTCTGTATCTTTATGTTTTGTTTTTATTTCCTTTTTTTATAGATTGGAGCTATAGTGGCCATTTGGACCATGGTACTGGTGACATTAGTGTGCCGGAAGATATCGAATCGATTTAGAATGTATCATCATACACGTTGAATTGATTCACGTCTTTGTTAAGATGACCCATTATGTGCATATATAGTTTTGTATCTCATACTATAGCAAATTTTGTTTATATGAATTATGATTTAGGATTATTTATACATTTAGTATACTGACAATATTGGACGATGGTACCCATGACTACGAGAGCTTTTTGCCATGAGTAGTGTTTTTTTGTTGTTTACCTATGCTATGTTTATGCGGTTGGTATGGGTATAGTCAGTATATAGGTTGACGAAGGTGATGTAGTAATGATTTTTCTAATGCTATATACGTTTATAATGGATTATTCAATGGCATTGATATGTCTTTATTTTCTCAAAGTTATATATATTTGTGATGAATTCTTTAAATATGTTGCTATGTCTTAAAAATTGATGATGAATAGCCTCTTAATATGCGGGTCACATTGTATTATATGGGTTTTATTTTTAATTTTGTTTGTGTAAATAATTATGGCAATATAGTTATTCTTGTAAATAAATTGAATAATTACTGATTTACACTACATAGTTAAGTAGTTAACATGTACCATATGGAGAACCACTGTGTATTGCATTACTATTGCGTATTTGGCACCTGTAGCGATCAGTCTATTACACATTGGGTGTGTGTTGAATTCAAAATATTTTTTGCACATCACTTTTTGGTTTTCTTTTGTGTTTTTGTTTTGTAACATTTGTGGGCGATGATTTTATGTATAGGTTCACTGATCACATTCTATTTCTAAGGTGGATCTAAGATTCTTTATTCTTTATTATTTTATTGGTCCTCTTTGACATGTACATATGTAATACATACAGTTGCAAGAATAAGTATGTGAACCCTTTGGAATGATATGGATTTCTGCACAAATTGGTCATAAAATGTGATCTGATCATCATCTAAGTCACAGCAATAGACAATCACAGTCTGCTTAAACTAATAACACACAAAGAATGAAATGTTGCCATGTTTTTCTTGAACACACCATGTAAACATTCACAGTGCAGGTGGAAAAAGTATGTGAACCCTTCAATTTAATAACTGGTTGAACCTCCTTTGGCAGCAATAACTTCAACCAAACGTTTCCTGTAGTTGCAGATCAGACGTGCACAACGGTCAGGAGTAATTCTTGATCATTACTCTTTACAGAACTGTTTCAGTTCAGCAATATTCTTGGGATATCTGGTGTGAATTGCTTTCTTGAGGTCATGCCACAGCATCTCAATCGGGTTGAGGTCAGGACTCTGACTGGGCCACTTCAGAAGGCGTATTTTCTTCTGTTTAAGCCATTCTGTTGTTGTTTTACTTCTATGCTTTGGGTCATTGTCCTGTTGCAACACCCATCTTCTATTGAGCTACAGCTGGTAGACAGATGGTCTTAAATTCTCCTGCAAAATGTCTTGATAAACTTGGGAATTCATTTTTCCTTCGATGATAGCAATCTGTCCAGGCCCTGACGCAGCAAAGCAGCCCCAAACCATGATGTCCCCACCACCATGCTTCACAGTTGGGATGATGTTTTGATGTTGGTGTGCTGTGCCTTTTTTTCACCACACATAGTGTTGTGTGTTTCTTCCAAACAACTCAACTTTGGTTTCATCTGTCCACAGAATATTTTGCCAGTACTGCTGTGGAACATCGAGGTGCTCTTGTGCAAACTGTAAACATGCAGCAATGTTTTATTTGGACAGCAGTGGCTTCCTCTGTGGTATCCTCCCATGAAATCATTATTGTTTAGTGTTTTACGTATTGTAGATTCACTAACAGGGATGTTAGCATTTGCCAGTGACTTTTGTAAGTCTTTAGCTGACACTCTAGGATTCTTCTTCACCTTACTGAGCAGTCTGTGCTGTGCTCTTGCAGTCATCTTTACAGGACAGCCACTTCTAGGGAGAGTAGCAGCAGTTTTTTTGAGATTGTTATGGTGTGCATTCTATATTCTATAGATATCTGCAAACACCGAAACATGGCTTTCAATGCCCATTTCAAGATAATTTATAAATATTTTAAAAAGTGGTCCCAAAACAGAACACTGAGGGACACCACTTACCACTTTTGTCCAGCATGAAAATTTACCATTAATGATAACTCGTTGTACTCTATCCTTAAGCCAATGTTCTACCCAAGAAGAAGAATAATCTGCTAGACCAATTTCTCACATCTAGTGAGGAGGGCATCCTTGACCCGCTGATACTGCAGTATATCCTCTGAGGTGCGAGCCCGAAAGGCTTCGTTCGCCTTGCCGGACAGTTTCCCAGACAAGATAGTGACCCATTGCTCTGGGGGTACTTGATGCAACGAGCACTGTCTCTCAAAATCTGCTAAGTATCCATCAATCTCATCTTCGTTCTCCACAAAAGTTTTAAATGCTGTGAAGGGGACCTTCTTTCCCATGTTGATTGGAGGGGGGGTCTGAACTGTCTTTTGTGCTCTTACCAGTTCGATTTCGTGGCTCCGCTTCTCCCAAATCTCTGCTTTCACGTCGAGGAACAGCCACTCAATCAGTTCTACTGACGTTGTTGGGTACATGGCTAGTTTACTCTGCACAATGCGGTTGATGTCATCTTCTTCGCTGATCGGTGCCAGGGGTCTGGTGACTTCCATGGACCGATCCATCAGCTCTCTCCGTGGTCTGTTACTGGCACTCCATCCACGACTCTCCAGTAGATCCTTCAGTGTGGGTCTCTTCAGTCTGTCATACTGAGACTCCATTCAGCACTTGCTCTGTGGATAAAAGGACCATCCCACCGCTACCACCAATGTCTACCCAGGTAGTAAGAGGGTATCAGCCGTTGGAGACGTCCTTTTTCCCCGGCAAGTCGCTGTGTAGTAGTGAAGTTGCTTATTCCCATTCACTGGATCCAAGGCAAGAGTCAGACAGAGCTCTTAAAAGAGCTAGGTGATTAAGCTGCATATCCCCTTTCAAGAACGAGACAAGGCCACGTTTTGAAGGGTCAAGAAGAACTGAATTTTAATGGCAGGTACTCTCCTTTTATATGATGCTGCCCATGCAAGGGAGACACCCACATAATTAACACAACAACCAATAAAACATAAGGTACATCCCACACATCTCCTCCCCTCAGATAAGCCTGTAACACAATTAACAAAGTTAAATTTTTCCCCAAGTTTTGGATGTACCCCAAATATCTGTGTACCCCAAATAAATATAGCCCTATTCTGGGGGAACAACATATTTAAAAATCATCTCATTCAATTCAGGGGTTCAGGGGATATGGCACTTTAAAGTCTTCTTGTTCGTGGGTAAAAAGTCCCGAAAGGCTTGCCATCCGTGCATATCTCGTGTTCGCTAGAATCCCCATGTGTTAAGTAGTCTTTCTACCGAACGGCGGGGCGTCCGGTAGTTTTGGCACAGATTTCTGGTAGTCTGGAGGTTTCAGCGGTGTTCGCCTACTCGAGTGTCTGATTTTAGTTCCAGACACTCGAAGGCAAAACACCGCTGTTCGGGAATTAAGATGGCCAAGGCCACGTGTAAAAAAGTACCGAAATGGTGGCCACCCAGGGACTTCAATAAAGCGGCCGTGTGCTTGCAATTACACATGGATGCAGCACAATGATGTATCGGGGGGGTCCGGTGTTCGGTAGTTTGCATTCAGTAGTTTGCATTCATACAGTGTTAGGTGCCCCAATTGCACGAATGCTTTAAAAAGTCCCGAAAAGCTTTGTAGCAATCCTCCCGAAAGTAGCTAGAAAAACCTTCAGCATGTAAGCGTCGTGATGTCCTGTAAGTCAGGAAAATATATATACTTTTAATCCAAGGTCTCTGTTTTAGCATATGTCCCTGGCTAGTTCTTAAAGGGCCGTTAACAGGGAACATTCCCACGCACATGGCAGGGTTTTGTTACAGTACACATTATACCATCATATATAAAAGACAAAGTATCTGTTAAAAGATTTACAACTAATACAGTGGAAACCTGGTTATATTTTAGCCTCGGTAGACGTGGTTTCACTATATACTAACATCCCGCACCAAAAGATACCTTTAAGACCCAGTCCAAAATGATAAAAAAAACAGATATACTGAAAAAGGTTACGATTTAAAATCAATCGAAGAAGCAGAGTTTTCTTTGATCAACACTAATCGAAATGAACTAATCACACAAACCAGAACAAACCATTTCAAAAATAAGAATCAATTTGATTTTGCCTTTATAACCAAATATAATTCTTAAGCCAAAAATATTGTAAGTAAAAGACATTGGCACATGTTGAGGAAAGATATATTCTTGAACAAAATTGTACCCCAAAAAAGAGAGCAGACAATCTAAAAAACAAACTACCTCCAAGCTTATTAAAAGCCGAAAGAACTATATCCACACTACCAACACATATTTTTTTCTAAAGAACTATTACAGCGTTTCTATCGTTGTGGCAAATGCTCCATTTGTACCTTTCAAAAGAAAACTATCAATTCATTCACAGGTTCATACACATCAAATTTATCATATCAAGACATTTCTACAGTGCTCCACAACCCATGTAACATTTATTGCAGTGTGGTTGTGGTGCGCAATATATTGGACGCACTATCCGCAAACTACATGTTAGACTCTTAGAACATTTTCAGAACATAAGAAATAGGAAATGAGATCTCAGTGTACCCAGACACTATCTCTTGTCCACAATTTCAATGGAATACGCTTTTGGCCTTTGCAATAGACAAGGTGGAAAGACATTGGAGAGGGGGAAATATTGAAACTTCACTTAATACGTAAGAAGCCCAATGGAAGCCCAATGGATAGAGACTTTAAGATATGGTCTTAATCAGGAAATAGATTTAGCAGGACTTATCTAATTCTATTACTTATCTTCATTTTTTTCTGGTATATATTGGTATCTGGTTTCTTTGGGACTTTTGGATGACTATTACTTAATTTCTATGTAGTAGAAATTCTCTATAACGTGTTACCCCAATTTGCAGCTTTCCCAATTTACTCTCACAGCTGTTCTTCCTCTAATATTTACATTAGGTGGTTTATAACATATCCCAACCAATAATTGATTTCCCTTTGTTTGCCCCAAGCAGATATCTACCCATAAAACTTCCACATTTTCCTCGTCCCACTCCACATTTGACTTTAACTCATGGATGGCATACAAACATACCCCACCACCCTTCTTGTTTTTCCTATCCTTCCTAAATAACGTGTACCCATTTAAGTTAACTGCCCAGTCATGTGTCTCATCCCACCATGTTTCCGTTATGCCTATTATATCATATTTAGTGTATGCTATTGCCTCTAGTTCCCCCATTTTGTTATATAGGCTCCTTGCATTAGTATGCATACATTTAGTATTGTCGTGAGTCATTTGTACTTTGAATTTGAATTTTCATCAATATTACATACCTCCTCTGTTCTGAGGTTTCCCATCCCCCCATCTCCACCACCCTTACACTGAGCTAAAGCCCATCTCCTTTCTATCCTGTTTCCATGTTCTACATTGCTTTGACCCTCCGCCCCACTACTATTTTAAAATCTCCTCCAACCTTCTAGCCATCCTATCCCCCAGCACAGCAGACCCTCTTCCGTGAGGGTGCAATCTATCAGAACTATACAGGTTATACCCAAGCGCAAAATCAGCCCAGAGCTCTAAAACCCCCAAACCCTCTTTCCTGCACCAAGACTTCAGCCATGCATTGACCTCTCTAATCTCCCACTGCCTTTCTGCTGTATCGCGCGTCACAGGTAATATTTCTGAAAATATTACCTTGGAGGTCCTTTTCTTTAGCTTACTTCCTAGTTCCTTGAACTCATTCTTTAGGACCTTTCATTTTCCTCTGACTTTGTCATTGGTACCAATATGGACCATGACAATTGGGTCATCCCCAGACCCTCCCAATAATCCCTCCACTCTGTCGGCAACATGCAGGACCCGAGCACCCGGGAGACAGCAAACTGTCCGGTTGAGTCAATCAGAGTGGCAGATTACTCTATCAACTCCTCTTGATAATAGAGTCCTCTACCACCACATCCTGTCTAAACTTCCTTACCCTCTCAACCCCACCCGTACTAGAGAGGTTGTTCCCACGGTTATTAGAAGGAACAGCTTCCTGCAGTACAGCTACTCCTGAGCTAATGCTCCCAACATCTTCATTCAAACGGGCAAATCTGTTAGGCTGCACAAGATCAGGACTAGCTAAACCTTCCTCTTCCCTCGCCCCACTGTCACCCAGCTCATCCCCAGTTACCAAAAACACAAGTGAGCAAAACGATATTTACCCTCTTGGTTTAAACTCTCTTGCAGTTTTCAACACTTGTTGTTTTAACTCCGAAATTAAACAAGAGAACTTAACTGATTACATGAAATAATTAATTGTCCAATATATCAACCCTTCACTGATAACGCCCTTTCCAATCGAGAGATGCCATAGGATCTTCAGATCCAGAGAAGCAGTGAACCCGACACCTAGAGATGTGATAGTTTTTTTGAACTCCTCAGTGAAAGATTAATGAAACAGCTAAAATTTCACCCTAATTTAAACATTTATATATTTATACAAGTTCTTTTCCCCCCCCCCCCCCCACCACCCCTCATACTGGTTTTGATAGCTGTGGATCAAATATGAGCGAGGGGCTTAAATCTTTGCAGTCCTTGTTTTGAATATAGCGTATGCTTTATAATTAATTACCTGGCCACAGATCGCCACCAGCCATTGAACTGATCTGAGATGTTTATTTTTTATTTTTTGGGGGGTTGTTTATATGATTAAATCACTCAGAATAATCACCTGAAAGATATGTATTATCTCGCTTTGGTGATGTACTGTTGGTTGGTTTTTATATTATGTTGTAATTGTTATTTGTGCGGTATGCTTAGGGTCGAGAATGGGTGTGGACAAGTCTACTTGAAAATTTTAGAGCCAACTCTGGAATGTCATTAGTTACTGTGAGTAATGATGTCAATTAAATTTGCATCTATAGAATGTTGCTAGATGTTAAGATTGACTTGTGTTTTGTTCAAGAAACACACTGGAAAGAAAATGAAAAAAACCTTTGGAACTATTCTAGATTCTCATATACTAGAAAGAAAAGAGGAGTTGCTATTATTTGTTCAACTAAGCTTAAGTTTGAACAAGCAGACCAACGTGTAGCCTGTAGCAATAGAGGGTGTAAATATAAAGTAGTAAATAGGGTGCTCACCTAGTTCTGAGCCTATTGGTCCCGGCTCTGAGGTGTGTAGGTTTTGTGCCAAATTTGGTGGGGATGGCACTACCCCTGTGAAGACTCCTGGAGGCTACAAAAAAGGACTTGAATAGGATGTCTTGAATAAAATAACAGAATTTATTTGTGTACAATAGCAAATAGCAAGCAGTGCAGTGCTCCTGATGGCGATTATTGGAAATTCCACCCAATATCTCTCTGATGGGATGAAAAGCGCCATAAGTAGCGAGCCAACTTTTAATGGGCTCTGAAATGAGTTTGATGAACATTCTTACATACATATATTTTCAATATACAAATTACACTATATGTGTTTTTTTAAACTTATTTAATCCCTTAACGAAGTTACGGCGTTCTGTGCCATCCCGCATTAAATAGGCTTTAAAGCCATTGCGGCGCCATAGAACGCCGTAACGGCTTTCTGCCCAGGAGCCCCAGTGGACTTACCTCCGCTGTGATCCTCTTCGGGAGAACTGCCTGACACGCAAGGCAGCCCTCCCATGGCAAATCAGGCCCCCTATAGCTGGTTTTGAACCTGCCAGCAGGGGGAAGTATAAAATAAATAAATTAAACATGTTTAAAATAAAAATGAATGTGTGTATGTATGTGTGTGTGTGTGTGTGTGTGTGTGTGTGTGTGTATATATATATATATATATATATAAAACGTTACAATAATAAATAAAAATAATTAAATAAAATATTTTTTACAAAATTAAAATAATTTATATATACATATCTACATACTTATATATATATATATAACAAAATACACTTAGAATGACATTGTGTATATATATATATATATATATAAAATACAAATAACCGCAAATATATATATATATATACACATACATATATATAATTACATAAATAACGACATAAGTGTACACGTAGACTTTAAATACATATATATTAAAATTCTACATGTATATTTAAGTAATATTTTAACATAATTATGTGATTTCATTAACAAAAATTTGATTGACGTGCCTGACAACCCAGGCAGAAAGTGCAGAGAATTTAATTCACAAGCGCTATACGCTATATTTAACCCTGTAACTTTCCAAGACACCATAAACCATGTACAGTGTTACTCAGGAGACCTCACTGAACACAAATATTAGTGTTTCAAAATGGTAACTTGTATTACAACGATGATATTTTTAGTAAAAGTTAAATTTTTGGCATTTTTCACACACGAACTGCACTTTTATTGACGATATTGTTGTAATATGTTTTACCGTTTTCAAACAGTTATGTTTGTGTTCAGTGAAGTCTCCCGAGAATAACAGTACCCCCCATGTACAGGTTTTATGGTGTTTTGGAAAGTTAGAAAGTCAAATATAAAGCTTGCATTTCATTTTTTTGACATTGAAATTTGCCTGGTTGGTTATGTTGCCTTTGAGAGCGTATGGTAGCCCAGGAATGAGAATCACCCCCATTATGGCATACCATTTGCAAAAGTAGACAACCCAAGGTATTGCAAGTGCGGCATTTCCAGTCTTTGGTAGTAGCCACTTAGTCTCAAACACAGGCCAAATATTAGTTTTTTGCTTTTTTCACACAAAAATAAATATGAACACTAACTTTGGCAAGTGTTTGTGACTAAGTGGCTACTACAAAAGACTGGACATACCCCACTTTCAATACCTTGGGTAGTCTACTTTTGCAAATGGTATGCCATCATGGGGGTAATACTCATTCCTGGTCTACCGTACGGTCTCAAAGGTAACATTACTAATCTTGCAAATTTCAATTTGAAAAAACTGAAAAATGGAATGTGCTGTATTTGACCTTGTAACTTTCCAAAACACCGTAAAAACTGTT